AATATTAAAAAAAATGCCTGTATAAAATTATGTGATTATATAGAGTTTGTGATTATATAGGAGGTGATTGTATGGGAAGACGACTGTATAATATTACTAATTGTAATATATGCTAATCAAACTTCAAAATTAGATATAATATAGTACAGTTAGAAAAATTTAAACCAAATATTTGTTTTACAAAATGAAAAATTAAAAAAAAATCAATAAACTTTAATAACTCAAAATTGTATTATAAAAACTTTACTAGCAAAAGTTTTTAACATCAAATTTTATATATAAACAAACTCTTACTTTTATCTAAAGCTAATTCTAACCTCAAACCTTAAAGTTATTTAATTTTTAATAAAAAGTTTATAATACCAGGTAATATCACTATAAGTGAAAATTAATTATAAACTTTCTATTATATAATATAACAAAAATATTTCTTTTGTAATTTTATTTTATTCTAATCTTAACTATGGTGCTCCAAGTCACTTCTCATCAAATTACCTATAAAATTGGCGCCTTAATTTATTATAGAGATCTACATAAAATTGACATATTATATAATTTATGAAAGTTAAAATAAAATTGGCGCCTTAATAACATATGTATATTAATACTGTACTTTGTAAATTTGGCACATTTGATGACAAGTGACTTGGAACACCATATAATTTTGGTTGTAATCTAACTTTAATTTCTATTGCAGACCAATTTTGCTATAGAAGCACAAAGTATATAGATATACTGTTTAGATTTTTCTTTAGTTTTTACGTAATAAAATTTTATAATATATACTTTTGGCATTATACTGTATTACTACGTATAAGTTATATACTTTATATAACAAGGTTTTGTATATACAGTACTTTTTATCAAGTTGAAACACTAACTGGGATATAGGGATAGGTTAAGAGCCTACGTATACCCCGGGCGCATTTTAAAGACGTTCAAAGATAAAAACCATGTCTTTATTAAGTAATCTAGTGTTCTTATAATACATATTGCATTTCAGATTGTCCAATCATCATCTAGTTCAAAATATGTAAAGATGCATCGTTAATAACGTCATTAATTACGATGTAAATATAGTTTATAATAGTTTATTTTTTTTTGAATAGTTCAGCAAAGCCGGTGCTACTAGAAAATGCCATACCACGCCTTACCTGCGCTCAATCAGCATTTCATTGTAGATTCGAAATACGAATTCATACGCGAACTGGGACAAGGAGCTTATGGCGTTGTTTGGTATTTCTTTTGTTTGATTTTCGGACATACTTAGATTGTCTGGAATACTCGTTATTATAACATATATTTTTAATTTAACTTGTTACCAACCAATATTTTCTACTATTTTACTAATTATAATTATAAAATAGCGCAGCAAAAAATACTGAGACTGGTGAACAAGTGGCAATCAAAAAAGTTACAAAAGTCTTTGAGAAAAACATTCTAGCTAAACGCGCTTTACGGGAGGTGAAACTTTTGAAACATTTCAGTGGCCATGAGAATGTTAGTCCAGTTTATCTATTGAAGTGCAAATTTCATATAGAATTGGCTCTGATCAGAATTTGAATATCTCCTGTACTCAGACACGTCTTTTTTACTCTTGGTTGCTGACATATTCGTTTGTTTGATTAGATTACATCAATTATTGATATGGATATAACAAATGTTAACGATTTCAACGAAATGTAACGTATAACATCGGATCGTATATTCGCTTGCTTACATATTTCAATTTTTGTATAAATCATTTTTTCCCGTCCTCATTATGAACACCAATTTGTACAGTTATCTATTTCAAGAACTCATGGAAGCAGACCTTCACCAAATTATACGTTCAGAACAACCATTGACAGACGCACACTTTCAATATTTCGTGTACCAAATTTGTCGGGGATTAAAATATATCCACTCGGCAAATGTATTGCATAGAGATTTAAAACCCGGTATGCTTGAGTGTATATGGGAAATGACGAACTAAAAGACTTTTTTTTCAACGTCCATTAACATATTACCAACTTTAGGTAATTTATTAGTAAATGCTGATTGTGAACTTAAGGTAATATATATTACATGATAAAAATCAAATACATATATATTTATTAATTATGTTTATATGATCCGTGAATTAGATTTGCGATTTTGGTCTTGCCCGTGGTTTCTCAGATTCACCTGATCACAATGCTGGATTTATGACGGAATATGTTGCGACACGATGGTATAGAGCTCCTGAAATAATGTTGAGTTTTCAGAATTATACTAAAGCCAGTAAGTATTTCATTTTTGCATTATATACATATCATCTTAGGAACCAATTCCGCTCATGATCATTATTATTTATATGGCTTGTTTATATGATGTAAAAGTTGATATGTGGTCCGTTGGTTGCATCTTTGCGGAAATGCTTGGTGGTAAACCTTTGTTTAAAGGACGTGATTATGTTGATCAATTAAATCAAATTCTGGGAATCTTGGGTACTCCAGATGAAGAAACTTTAAGAAGAGTTGGGAGTGAGAGGGTAATGATGTCAATTTAAAATTGCTTATCTGTAATTTTGAGAAATTGGCATATTTATGTTGAATTGAGCATTTATTATATCTTTCATTAGGCTCAGGTTTATATCCGTAGCCTACCAAAAATGCCAAAAGTTCCTTTCTCACAACTTTATCCTAAGGCAAATGTTTTAGGTGAATATGAACTTACAAATAGCCTTTATTTATTGTTATCTATAAATGATAATAATAATGAATTACAATATTTATGTTGCTCTTTAGCGCTTGATCTATTAGAAAAACTTCTCAAATTCGATCCTGCCGCAAGGATCACTGTTGAGCAAGCCTTAGCCCATCCTTATTTAGCTGCATATCATGACGAAGAAGATGAGGTTAGTAAAGTGAATTTTATTATATCGAGCTAAACTGCTTGTTATTCATTCCACATTTACGTTGCTATTAGCCGGGGCATGATGAAATGTTTGATTTCTCGTTTGAATCTGTTGATTCGATAGAAGAGATGAAGAGTGAGCTTACTCCTAATTCAATGTTACATTACTTCTAGCACTCCTCTTTATTAGTATTAAATAAAAAAAATATAATATCAGAAATTATTGCCCAGGAGGTGATGTCTTTTAAAGCATCTAAGCAAGCATCGTTAGGACTGAATTGTGCACAATTAGGACGTAAAGCAAGGTGATTAATATTCTTTAACAAGTAATATACTTTTCTGATTTTATTCTCATTTCCCTGATAATCACTATAGTACTTAAATGACCATGTCTGCTTTTAACAAGTTTGTCAGCGCCTGACCGCGACGCGTTAGCTCAGCAACGTCAACAAACTAATCGCAATTCTTTCTACGAATACGGCGCAGCTAGTCAACACGCAGCTATACCTTCAGCGAGTATGGAAGTGGATGAATTAGAAAAAGAGTTAGGTGGCATGTTGCAATAACAAAATTTACGGCATATGCGGTGATTGATTTTAAAAATCGAAAATATGGGCTTTTTAACGTATTTATTGTGGAGAAATTATGCATTTTTCCAGAACAAGAATATACTTATGCGTTGTATATTCTTGTCCTGAATAAGCTTGACATACATCAGCTAATATTTATTTTTTGTCAACCACAAAGATTACTTTAATTCGCTGTTGAGCACTATTAAAAAAAGTTGGTATGTTTTTTAATTTGGTTTTAACCCGTTTTATTAAATGGTTTTTCTTAATAAATTAAATTGTGATAAGTTAATGTTGATATTTTATTTTGATATTGTTTAATTATGGTTACTGTGGTTTTTAATAGTCAAAATTACTGTGTATTATTTATTCCTGAAGTTGTGGGAATAAATGTTTATGTTTCACATAACTACATGGTGATAAGGCTATGCAAAATTAATTGTCGTGGCTGAAGCTGGAAATGGCTGAAGCTGGAAATTTTAAATATTTTAATATGAAATTTACAAAAAAT